CCCGACGCCCGTTGACTTTTACGAATCCCCACGACACCCTATATCAAACGGATCGTGCCAAAATCGGGCTAAAATCGTGTAATCTGAACCAGGCATAAAACTTAAACTTTTTTTTTTTTTTTAAATGAGCGATCGTTTCGCTTGATAAGACCCTTATTCATCGTCTGAAATAGTTTAAAGCCCTTTGAACAGTTTGCAGTTTGCACTGAAACTCTCATTTGGACCTTGAACCGTTTGGTTCCCATTGAACTCCATTATATGGAGAAAAATCCTGGAATGTTTTCATTTAAAAACCTTAATTTCTTTTCGACTGAAGAAAGAAAGACATGGACATCTTGGATGAGTGACATGAGGGTGAGTAAATTATCTGCAAAAGTTTTTTTTAAAGTGAACTACTCCTTTAAGGTTGACTTGAACAGCACTGTAACCCAGTATCTCTCTTACTTCTTGGGAGGGTGAAACAGCTACGGGGGTTTGGATCCCAACATTTGGCCACAGTCAGTATGATGGGTCTGTAAACGTGAAGATGCACGATCATAGGTAACGTCAGTGCTGATATAAATATCATCTAGCCCGTAACAAGAGAAGCAAACATCACAGCATCCACTTCTTACCCAGGTTTATGGACAATCTCTCGCAGCACCCTCACTGCATCATCATTACTCATGTTCTCAAAGTTGATATCGTTCACCTACAACACAAAAGCAACTCTTAGAAATCTCTTCGAAACAGCCAAAACAGACCATGACAGAGTGACTGACCTGCAGAAGCATGTCACCAGGCTCAATGCGTCCGTCAGCGGCCACCGCGCCGCCCTTCATGATGGAGCCGATGTAGATCCCTCCATCACCCCTCTCATTACTCTGCCCGACTATACTAATCCCCAGAAAATTATACTTCTCTATAGCAAGAGGAACAGAGGAAAACAAAATGGAGAGATGAGGAGCAGAGTATAGATTTAGTATTATGAGAGTGCGGTAAAACACTATTTCAATTGAAGACACACAGATATACATGTGCACATACTCACCCATGTTTAACGTGACAGTTATGATGTTCAGAGACATGGTGGAGTCAGTTATGCTGCTGAACGATGAGGACTGGAGAGAAACAGAGATAAGGACACTTAAAGAAACAGCTCAACAATGATAGCCGGATACAAACACAATGTTTATCAGGCGCGGGAGTCTCACCCTCTCCATCCTGGGTGCTTTGGGTTTCCGTCTGCGGCGCCGATGGCGTCTCATGAGACGTGACGATGTGCTCTGCTCCGTAGAGCTGCTGAACCTGCAGTGGCATCACAGACGAATCTTCAAAACATCGTATCTAGTGTCTTTTGTGCACATATAATGCACGTTACAGTCCTCTCAGCTCTGATTGGTCCTGATAGTCATGTGATTCCTACCATTCAATCCTTTGAGTTAGTGTAGTAGTGTATGAGACCATGGAAAACCATGCTTTGTGTTGGCTTTCCAGAGCATGTGATTTGAATGTGCATTAAGTCATTTAAGTGTTTAAAGGAGCCATTTTCTATATGTATCATGAATAGTTTCGCCTCCTCTCTGATGCTTACTCTTACAATCTGTATAATTTCAACATGCCTGCATGCAAATTATCGTTGTTAATACTGACCTCTGTACATGTGCCAGAATTGTCCTTAAAATGGAGTAAAAATGCTAAGTATTTTACGGGTCCTAATTATAGATTTTATTATCTTTTATGCAAAAATACTGTGCATAAACTGCTAGGACTTTTTGCATTTTTACATTGTTTTCAGGCCATCATTAAGCCCCATAATTCTCATTACTGTAATGTGAAACATAAAGATTAACATATATTTTATTTTACTATTATTAAGATTATACATCATGGTTACTGTAATATATATAAAAAAAAAAAAAACACAGACTGTATCAGTGTAATGAAAATTATAGGGCTGTCAAACAATGAATCGCATTCAAAATAAAAGTTTGTGTTTACATAATATATGTGGGTGCACTGTGTATAATTATTTTATATATATATAAATACACACACATGCATGTATATTTTTAAGAAATATTTTCATGCATATAATTTAAATATAAATATTTATATAATAATATATTATAATATATTATACTGTATATTATAATATAAAAAATATTATATATATTATAATAATATAAATATTTTATACATAAATACTATTTTTTTCTTAAAAATATACATGCATGTGTGTGTATTTATATATAAAAAAAATAATCATACACAGTGCACCCACATATATTATGTAAACACAAACTTTTATTTTGAATTTTATTTTTATTTAGAATTTCGTTTGACAGCCCTAGAAAATTATTATGATGACAAAGAAAATATTGTGAATTGGGGCTAAATCTGCTTTATTGTCCAAACAATTCTCAAGGTGCTAATAGTAGAGTAGATTGCATTTTCTCTTTACAATCTGACTGACCAACGTGCATTTTAAAGGAGTACGTAGTTTTGCTGATAATTTACTCACCCCCATGTCATCCAAGATGTCCATGTCTTTTTTTCTTCAGTCGAAAAGAAATTAAGGTTTTTAAATGAAAACATTCCAGGATTTTTCTCCATATAATGGACTTCATTGGGAACCAAACGGTTCAAGGTCCAAAAGACAGTTTCAGTACAAACTGCAAACTGTTCAAAGGGCTTTAAACGATTCCAGACGATGAATAAGGGTCTTATCAAGCGAAAAGATCATTTAACGATCGCTTCATCGTTCGTGACTCTCCTGTTCGAACTCGTTTATCAAAATGAACGAATCTTTTTTTGAATCATTTCAAGGTCCAAATGGTTAGGCGAGCATTTGTGCTTCTAAAACTTAAACTTTTTTATTTATTTTTGAAATGACCGATTGTTTCGCTAGATAAGACCCTTATTCATCATCTGGTGTCGTTTAAAGCCCTTTGAAGCTGCACTGAAACTCTCATTTGGACCTTGAACTGTTTGGTTCCCAATGAAGTCCATTATATGGAGAAAAATCCTGGAATGTTTTCCTCAAAAACCTTAATTTCTGTTCGACTGAAGAAAGAAAGACATGGACATCTTGGGTGACATGGGGTGAGTAAATTATCAAAAGTGAACTACTTTCATAGATCATAGATAGCAGATAGTCGACCGGTAGAGGACAAAAATATTTTAAAATTCTGCAAAATTTTCCACGAATGGTTGCATGCAAGAAGAGAAAAAAAGCAATGCTTTTTTTTTTAATTGAATGGCCCTGTTGATGAGTTTTCATAAACACTGTGTGTACTAGGAGTTTTGCATTGTGAAAGTCTACATACATAATGTCTACATCAAACTTCCATTTTAAAAGAGTCAGAAAATTCCTTGTTTGAAAATCCCTGTTGAAAGTGTTTCAACCTCACCTGCTGGCCGAGTCGTCCTCCTCGGAGTCGAAGAAGCTGGTGGTGTCCAGCTCACTACTCATGAGCGTGGAGGAGCTCTCATAGCCTGCGATCTCCTGTCTGCGCTCCGGCCGAGAGTGACCGTTCAACCGGCCTCCTGCAGAAGACAACACTCATCAAACAAGCCCGCGGGGTTTCCTCATCCTCACTAAACAGACCTGGGGAAACTCACCATGGTCATGTGCATCTTTCCTACGAGGCCTTTCTCTCTCCCTCTCTCGATCTCTTCGCAGCGATGGACCCACCTCAGGCTCGGTGTCGTTGACCAGGTCATCCTGACTTCCTGCGGCATTCGCACTGCATGAAAAGCGGACATTAGAAAGATGAAGGCTGGGTGTTCAGAAGACAGGCAGTGATAAACACATCGCTGAGTGACACATGCCACACACACACAATGTACAGTAAACATTCACAGATCACAAATAACCATTCTCAACTCAGAAAGTTGTGATTAAAGAAAACTCCAGTTTGTGATTTGGCGGCATACATACTGTATCAGCTGAAGTGTTTGGGGAAAAGTACAGCTTCTGTGTGAGAAGGATCCGTACCCGTATGTTTTGAGGATCACCAGCAGAGGGCGCTCACAGGTTGCTGCTGTATTTCTCTTAACTACATTTGGCTGTGTTCACTCACAGTGTATGAATAATTAATTAACCTGGACACAAACACTCTCACAGAGGGGAGTCATGCTGCCTGACAGACAGAACAGGAAACACACACACACAGACAGGAAACACCAGCAGGACAAACAACTATGCACACACATGTGGTTACATGCAGATAAAGAGACCCACTGACCAACAATGGCACAAACAGACCTGTGGGAAAAACCACTGATATAGGCAGCAAAACAACAAATATCAAAATCTATATAAAAAGGCCTGCACGATTTTGTCAAAGTAAATCACATGGTATTATTTGTGAGATTTGAACTGTGAAATCATTAACATTAAAAATCACAATAGAGCGCAACAATAACTGCCCTGGGTTCCAGGAGTATTTTTCTCATTCAATTTCTCCATAGGGATTTTTTTAAAAATTCAATAAAGAATAAAGCCATGAACCAAATGCACCTTTGAAATCAAACAAATAATATATCTGTTATTTGTTACATGTTATTTGCAATGAAATGAAAATATATTATATTTAAAAGTATAATTAGTTTTACATACATTTATGGTAACTAAAATATATACGTTAATATAATTTCCACAGACACTTGTATGCCATGTATATTTAATTAAATATATTAGTGATTATATTTGAAAATGACGAAGTTGCCATTTATTACACTTAAAATATATTCCCTTTAAACGTAATCCTGAACAACACATAATAATCAAGTACTTTACATGTGCTTTAGTTTGTTAGTTAAAGGGATAGTTCACTTTGAAATTAATTTTTGGTATGTTTTATCTTACCTCAAGGGCATCCAATATGTAGGTGTCTTTCTTTCCACAGTATTTTCAATTTTGATATTTTTAGGTCAAACCGTTCTTGTCTGTCAGTCATATAATGCAGGTCTATGGTCACCACCTCAAAGAGCATGCACAGAGAAGTCCAAATTAAACATGATTTAATGACTCGTAAATGTAAGTACACATTGATGGCCTAAGACACGAAATATATCGTTTTTACCTCTTGTAATCACAGTCACGTCCAAGTGGGTGGCTTAGAGGTGGTGACCATAGACCTGCATTATATGACTGACTGACAGACAAGAACGGTTTCTTTCAAAATTGAAACTACTGTGGAAACAAAGACACCTACATCTTAGATGCCCTTGAGGTAAGCTAAAACATATCAAAAATTAATTTCAAAGTGAACTATCCCTTTAAAACAACTAAATTATTTTAAATGGACTTTAAAGTGAAACTTTTAATTTCATATTACAAGTTATAAGTTACTAACACACTTAACACTCTAATTAAGTGTATTAAGAAACAGTCATGAAAGTGTACTCTCTTTGAGTTATTATATTATTTAAAAAATACATAATTTACATTGAAAAATATGAACTCTGAGACCAAATGTGAAAAGACTGTAACAATGATTCAAAATGCACCCTTAAAGGAAAAATGAAACTCCTTCACTTTGAGCTTTGACGATTTAATTTATTTAATTAAACTATAGCCTTTTGCAGTTTAATAAAGGCCATAACACAATCCGATTAGCTGTGCATCCCAAATAATGCTTCACCTCCCTAACAAAACAAGCACTTAAAGCAGTCAATGCCTTTGTAGGAAAATCCTCAATCTAAATTGATGAGCGTGTCTGTCTACGAGGGTCAGTAGGGTTGATTAGATTCACAAGTAATGGGCTCCTCGGATTATTGGAAAATGTAAACGCACAGCTCCGAGACTCGCACAGCTCCTCTTAACACACCTCTTGTGATCAGGCAGATGTCATTAAAGATATTGACGTGCTAGCGCTCTCTGGGTTAGGGCTCTGATTAGCCCACATTAGAGGAAACTGGTGCCTTTGAGACCGAAGGATAATGAGAGCAAGTCAACACAGAGCACTTCCGGTCCCTAACCACCTCCAGTGAGTGTTTATCTGAAAAAATCACACACAATATTTAGCCGTGGATCCGACATTTTTGTGCCGCCCTTTTGTAGAGCTAAATATTTTCAAGCCCTTCACCTACAGTACATGCACCCATAAAGACGGTCTCAGCCTCTCGAAAAACAATATAGGAATTATTAATTATAATATTTTGAGGCACACAACACACTGGGGTCTATATTCATAACTCGTCATATTTTCTCGTCTTTAAATCAATATCTACATCAGATGTAGGGCTGCACCATGTATTGTTTTAGCATTGATATCTTCCAGCTATATCACAAATTTATTATATGTTTAATTTACCTGCTAGTAATGTCTTCATTATTTAATGGAAGTTTAAATAAATCCGTCATAAAATCTGTCATTTTATTTTTTTATTATAGAAGTTTTATTATAGCTGTATAATGTATAATAAACAGTATATATCACTTGTATATACTGTTTAAATGTTAATATTTCAACAACGAATTGGAATAAAAACAATTATACCATTAAAACGTTGATATTAGAAATGCCTTATGTGAAATTTAAATGTCTGTATACAATGTAAACAATATGTGCATGTTTGAATTTTTGACTCATTAATTGATTATTACATAAATTATGAAATGAATATTAATTTTGTTTTATTTTTTAGCTAAATGAAAAATTCAATTGCAGTACAAAAATCATTTTGGTGCATCACTACTAATATCAATTGAATCTGCGTTAGTTTGGTCTGTCGGTGAACGAGCTAATAGACACACACACACACACACAGAGAGAGAGAAACAGCTGTAGGGTTACTGACTGGAAGGAAGGGGGTCTGGAGTCTCCGATGCCTCCTGTCCTCTCCAGAGGGGGCGGCAGATCGGCAGGAGTGTCTGCACACACAGATCCTCCGTCAGAACCATGAGAGCCGTCTGCAGACACCAGCTGTACAGAGACACAGAGAGAGATGATAAAATTAGCTCATCTACAGCATCTGTGACAGGGCTGATAAGCCTCATGACTCATGCTAACTTACCAGTATACAAACAATACCACTCAAAAGTTTGGGGTCGGTGAGATTTTTAAATGCTTTTGAACAAAGTTTCTTCTACTCATTTATTTGATCAAAAATACAGTAAAAACATTAATATAATTACATTTTAAAATAACTGTTTTCTATTCGAATATAGTTTAAAACGTAATTTATTCCTGTAATCAAAGCTGAATTTTCAGCATCATTACTCCAGTCATTCTAATATGCTGATTTGCTGTCCTAGAAACATTTCTTATTAATATAAATTTAGAAATCAGTTGTTCTGTAGAAACCGTGATACATTTGTTTAAGGATTCTTTGATGAATAGCATTGATATACATGACATATACACTGTCACTTTTATTCAATTTAATAAAAGGATGAAACTATTAAATTCTTTCCAGCAAGTTAAAGACATCACTGACCTCCAACTTTTGAATGGTAGAATATGATATTTAAAGGGACACTCCACCCATTTGCATTAAGAAACTTTCCATTGTTAGAAACCAAGTCATACTATTGAATGGTCGTGCAACACTCTCATTTTCCCCTGAGACGAGAGAAATCCGCTATTTACCTTTTTCACTTCCTCCTACAATGACGCAAAAATCATCATTTTACGTAATTGTAGGAGGAAGTCTAAGAGGGATAAAGACTACAAGCACTAGATCTCACTCTTTCAAACCCGCCCAAATAGAGCCCGACCGATAAAGGATTTTGAAGGCCGATACCGATACAAATATTTTTCGGTTTTAAAATCCGATATTACGATATATCGGCCGATATTTTTTTTTTATTAAATATTGTTGGATTTCACACACGTGAAAAAAAGAAAAGCAAACTTTTCTGCACAAGATACGTTTGATACTTTTTCTCTATGTCTAGCAAGTATAACTTACATTTTACAATGCAGAGACTGTAACTAGAGATATGCTAGTTGTAAATACAGTAATCATTACTTTATTTAGGCAGAAAAAGTTCATTGTGGTTTCCAAGCTCATTAATGTTAACGTTAGCGGTCTTCCACTGATGATATTGGCGTTAGCTAGTCTATGATGAGCCATAATTTATTTAACAATAGATAACATCAAACTGCTAGTTGTAAAACATACATTTTCAATATAACAGGCCAAGGAGAGATGATTGAAGCGTGTTTCGTCCGTTTTTATTTTATGTTTTAAATATTCATTTATCGGCCATTATAACTGCCGATACCGATATTATGGAAAATGCCTAATACCGGCCGATAATATCGGCCAGCCGATATATCGGTCTGGCTCTAGGGTGGACCTAATGCGCTAACCGACCAATCACAGATCAGTGCCAGTGCGATTGATTTCACCGGCAGAAACGTTTTGAAAATAAGGACGAAAATACTGAATACGCAGACGGATGCATTATGGAGGATTAGGATTACACATAGTGTCAGCCATCTTTTTTGGAAGCTAAGCTAGCAGGCTCTTGTTCTGTGGAGAAAGCTGAGTAGTAACTTTAGGGGTTACCATAATGTATAACGTAAAAGCCCAATCCCGGACATTTTGGGCGATCTCGAAACACATTTTCGGGCTGACTCATCACGGAGACTCACTAGTAGCCTAGACTTGTTTTTTAACGACTGCGCTCTGTTACCGGTAGGCGTGGCCTCCTAGGGCAGCGAAGCAAGTGCATTCTGGGAGTTGATGTCTTTCATCCACATAAGCCAAAATACATTTTCTTGCTTTTCTCAGTCTAGAAAGCTCCAAATTCAAAAATAATTTCACATTTCTTCTACATAAATGACCCATTTTAAATACACATTCATCTTTCCAGAGGTGAAGTGACCCTTTAAGTTTTGTGGCTATACTCTGAAAATTGTGTTTTTCCCAGTGCAATAGATTTCCACTGTACAATTACTGTAAACGTGTTGATTGAGCTGAACTTGTATGTAACCTTAAATGTAAAAGTATATTAGTTTCCTGCTTAGTTTTCTCCATGTTTTAAAATCAGCTCAGTTCTGAGGGCACAGCAGGCATGTCATAGTTTAGGAGGGGAATAAATGATTCAGAATGCCACGAACCCTGTAGTAATGATCATTAAGAGTCTCTTGGAAAGAGAGAATTCACATCCTGTTGGACAAACAGAGAGCCTCTTGTGAGACCACAATGAGCTGCATTGGAGTCCCAACACCACCCTAAATCTGATTGAATCTTCTTGTTATACATGGGATATTTCAGGAGTGTTTTTCGCTCACCCTGTGACTTCACTTAGATAATTCAATCACAACCAACATGGAAGAAGACAATGTGCTTTAAGAAAACAGAAACACACAGAATAACTTCCCTGTCACAAATAGGCTGTGTAGTGTAACACACAAATAAAAGTGATGAAGAATTAACAAGGTATCAGACGAAGCCGGTTTCACTTCCTACCCAGGCAAGTATGAGCAAACTGTTTTTTGGGGGGGGGCTCAAGACATATTTATCAGTCATACACAATTGAAACAATTAAGATTTCTGTAATAGTACTAATAAACTAAATGTGTTTTAAATGGGTCCTATTATGCCCTTTTATGAAGTCTTGCTTTGGTTTTGGGGTGTACTAGAACATGCTTTCATGCTTGATTGTTCAAAAAACACATTATTTTCCACATATTTTCCATTATTACAGAACGCACCGAACGCATCGTTTAGTTCCGGCTTCGATTAAGCTCCTCCTTACGAAGTACGAAATGTGCTGTGATTGGTTAGCTGTCCCAGTGTGTGGTGATTGGCAGCGTTTAGTGCGTATTTGGGAAATGTCGCGCTCATCCATAACAACGAGTTCTTCTCTAGTTTAAATATAAAGGATGGCGGCAATTTCAAACTCGATTCAGACCCTGACAATGTTAACGAACGAGAACGGCTTTCTCAAGCACTGATTGTACAGGACATTTCTGAGTGGTATGTTTTTCTTCTACATTATAGGTACGATGTTATCCACCATTTAATCATGATATTTGTCGTAAAACTATGGTTAACAGTAATGGATCACAAAAATATGGTTCATTTTTTTCTAAGGGGCAGTGAATAGCCTTACAAAAGCGAGAGCTTACAAAAGCTATAGTAAACAGCACTATATCAACACTAATGTTGGTTATCAGGTGAGCGCATCAACAACATAAAACATATAATTAGAACTGTCAATAGAAAACGCAACTACAAATAATACAACATACTTACAGTGCGTCATTGCACAAACAACAGTCCCAACAAAGTGGAAACTGCCCCATTTCAGGAGAAGCTTTTGTGTGGTTCTGGAAGCTATTCTTCGTATAATATGAAGCGCACAGATAAATATTGGGATTATAATGTTCAGGAACAGTGTTTAAAATAAATTTGACCCAATTTCTAAGTTTGTCAGCCTTAGGAAAGTCAAACACACAAGTTGTGGAAAAAACAGCGCTCATCCAGGCCTCGTCCGCTTTTCTGCGTATTCTGTGGGATTATTTAAATGAGGAACATTATGACTTCATAACGCACGGAAAAATCAGGTTCTAGTACAAACTTGCTGTTCATTGTAGTTCTTGAAAAGAGGATTCTGTTAAATAAAATCTCTCTCTATGGAGTGAACTTTGAGCTTTGTAACGTCTTTTTATGATCTTTTTTATGCTCAAACAGCAAAATTACACACTAACTAAAGTTAAAAAGTGGAAAAGCATAATAGGACCCCTTTAAATAGACAATAACCAGGTTTATATATGAAACCCTGGACCACAAAACCGGTCACATGGGTCATTTTTTTGAACAGGAGATTTATACACCATCTGAAAGCTGAGTGTGTGGTATGTACTTAGATAGGATAGGACAATATTTGTCCAAGATACAACTATTTGAAAATGTTTCGGGTTTAAAAAAAAATGAAACATTGAGAAAATCGTCTTTAAAATTGTCCATTTAAGTTCACCATTATGCTGCATTGACTCACAAAAATAAATGTTTTATATGTTTATGGTAGAAAATTTACAAAATATCTTCATGGAACATGATCTTTACTCAATAGGCTAATGATTTTTGGCCTAAAAGAAAAATTTATTATTTTGACCCATACAATGTATTGTTGGTTATTGCCAAAAATATACCCATGCAAATATACCCAAGATCACATATTTATCATCAATATTTCTAATTTGATTCAATCTCATTTTAACTAATTGAATATTGCTTGTTTTACAGCTAGCCATATTTTAACCATTTGAATACATTTTAACAATGAGCAGATGTATGCTGATTCTAAGCAATTGGAATAAATGCAAATTATTAGTTAATAAACTAAGCCAGAGTGTCGAAATCTTACCCGTTTCATTTATGTGTGACTGAAAAATATGCATATTAGTTTATGTAATCCAAATGAACGGAAATTTTCAAATACATAAATCTTAAATATATGTTTTTCTATGAAGGACAAAAATGAGGCCCAGGCAAGTCTAAAGAGGGCATCCATATCTTGTAGAACTGATATATTTTTACATGTAAGGAGTTTAAATGGGACAAAAGCAAATATCACCTTATCCCATTCCCAACCCATAACCAAGTGGTCCTCAATCACTGATCTAACACAATAAATTTGTTTTTTTGGCAGCAAAGTTTAATATATTATGGAACTTCCTGTTGGCAGACTCGATGGAATGACACTGGTTCTAATTCGAACGGATGGATGCCAAATATTAAATCAAATTTTAACAGAACCATGTGTTTTACAGCCATCAATAAACAGCCCTACCAGGTGCTGAAAGTGGTGCAGTACCGCTCTGACCACTAGATGTTCCTCGCTCTCTCACGCTTTTATATCTCTTCCCACGCCTGCAAGTTCTTTGACGGACAGAGCCAAGTCCCTCCCACCCCGAAAGCGTCCACAGGCTCAGCTCTGCATGGGAAAGCTCCTGGTGTGAATCTGAAACGGGGGCAGTAAGAGGACGCACATATTTCCCCAGCTCCAGGTTTCTGTCTCTCCTGGACGCCGCGTTGGAAAAGTGCATCGGAAGATGGCAGAGAGTAAAGCCTAGTTCACACTACATGATTTTAAAATGTCGGGCTGAACTGTGCAGTTCACACTACATGACTTGCTCTCAGTGAAATCATGAGTGTTCAAGTTGTTTAGCTGTTCACACCACACAACACAACGTGATTGATCCACAACAGGAGGTAACTCACTACACGAGTTAACAACGCACTACATAGAGATACAACCACGATCGGATGATAAGAGCATATCATTTGTGACTCAATGAGAGCTGTTTCAGTACTATAGTACGGTCTAAATCCTGAAAATAATCAAACAAATAACGAGTTGACAACAACACGATTCTATCTGGTCTAGAAACCATGTTTTGTCACGAAAAACCGCGCAATAAAACGAACCAGAAATGACGCGAAACTGCAGAGAAGAACACAACACGCGAATATGGACGTCAGACAGAAACTAGTGCTGCACACTGTTTGCTCGACGATCTGCTCTGAGAAAAAAAAAAATGCAAAAAAGAAAAGAAAAAGTAAGATTTACCTGGTGTCCTCAACCCATGCGTTGCTATGATTGGCTGTACTCATGACATCACTGAGATTGAGTCGCGCGACTGCTCGAGATATCTAGCATGCTAGATATTTTTCTGAGCTCGGTGACCTGTCTGCGAGGTGTCTGCGAGCTGTCTTTGGTGCGTTGTTGGCTCTTTCAAACTAACGGATTGGCGAGCGGTAATCTTCCGCTAATCGCCCGCGATTTGCACGCGATAACACCCTGACTTGTCGGCGACTCAACGATTTGCAAATCGGGCTTAAATCGGGCTTAAAATCACGTAGTGTGAACTAGGCTTAAAGCAGCGATAAAGAGCGCACCTTGTGTTTCTCCGTGGAAAGGGAGATTTGAGAGACAGGGATCTGGCTATGTAGCCGCTCTGTGTGTGTGTGTGTGTGTGTGGTTCAATCCACATGAGGAATTGTTTGTTTCTCTTGGCTGAAAAAAACAGGGTGTGTGTGTGTGTGTGTGTTTGGAAAAAAAAATCAATCAGAGGGAGGTGGAGTGAGTCTGACTGACTATAGAATAAAAATAATAGGGAATGTGTAAGTGTGTTTTTTTATATTACAGCATTCAGCTGTAAATTATACAGTGGAATGCAAGTGCACTGAAATTGTGCTCCCAAGTATGAGTCAGTGCCAGTGTGTGTGTACAGGTGTATATTTCTAGGTTTTTTAAGTCCAACTGAAAACTTAGTCTTAAAAATAAGGTTCCAGAAGCGAACCATCTTAGGCCACATCCACACGAAGCCAAAGCTTTCCCAATCTAATGTTTTTTTCCTCGTTTAAAAAAAAAGTCTGTAAACACGGCGGTGTCTCGAATAATATCTGCGTACACACGAAACCACTGAAACTGAAAATGATGTAGTATACATTCCAGACCAGTGTGTGGCGCTGTAATTCTGCCATAGAGATACACAAAAAATGTGAGAAGAAGACTTAATACAATAATATTAGGCACAGTTTCTTTTTTTCCAAGAACTTTAGTTAACAACCATAAATTGCCTGGTACAAAATAGGGAGTCACAATATTCGATTAGTTAGCGGACTCAGAAAGCCACAAAGAACCGGCAAAAGTAACGCGAATGTGTCAAATATAGACATTTTAATTGGTTATTAATAAACTAGTGTTTTCTGAGTGATTCTTGACTCAAAAGATGAAGTTGACGAAGCTGACTCGCCACTTCACAGTATTGTGAATGCGCCTATTGAGTAGGCTAATGGACTTCATACGTATTAGGCTATAAGAGAGAGTTATCTGTTTCTTTTCGTCTTGAATTGTTGTTCGATGTTGTTTAAATGTAGACATTTCACGATTTCTATATATTTTCCTGAGTTTCGGTTCATTTATGAGACGAGCTCCAGTTCACTAGTTATATCACGCCGGCGTCCATGTCATGATTACTGTCTGCTATATATTTGCTTCTTATTTATTAAATCAAGGTAACTGGTTGATAAAACATTGATTAAAATTTACAAGATACAATTTATACAAAAACAAAATTCACTTTATACAAAACAAAACTTAATGTGGTCAAAATTAGGTCTCCACATATATTGCGCATCTTATTATACTTATATCATGTATGTTCACTTTTCATAATCAACATCATAGATTAAATTAAAAAAATTACATATTTAAACAAATATTAAACTAAATACATTTCTTTAATGGCTACAACATGGCCTACAATAACCTAATGTCGGAGTGGAAGATTATGCGGTGTGTTTTTTTTTTTTGAATAGCCGTAATAATCAAATAATTCCCATCGATCGTCAAATATTCCCTTCCCTACAAAATACGACTTAATCGGACAACAGACCAGCACCATAGCATACGAAAGAAAGTATAGGCCTAAAAAAATTAGTGAAATAAAAATACATTCAAGTAAATAATAAAGGAATACAAAAGGCTCAGTAGTTTCACCGCATTATATTATATTATTAACTGTCTGATTAGTCGGCACATGGGGTGATGACATCATTGTTTCACAAAATATATGGATTGGCCGTACACACGAAAACGCAAGGGTGACGTTTTCAGATTTATCCACCCTGGGACCCGGTTTCAAAAAAATAGCGCTTTCAGTGTCCCAAAACGCCGGATCCGTCTGGGCGAAACGCCAATACGACAAAAAATTTGTACGTAAACAGCTAAACGCGTCTCCGTGTGGACGGGGCCTTAGTGCGAAGAATATTTCAATAATCTGAAGAAACTTTTGCAATGAGACAAATTCCATGGATGTTAAAAGTTCTTCATGGATCCATCATTGCCCATAAGTGTAGAGTGGGACTTGATTTCATAACATACACTGATGAATCATTCACAAACGCCACGTTGGAGGCGACGGGCGTATTTAAACGCGAGACTAAATCCCCTAAATTATTGCTGTGTGTGGAATACAAGAGTCACTTGATGGTGTGACTGGCATCGTAACAACCATAGCAACAGGTTGGCGTCTCAGAGATGTCAATAAATACATGAATGCCAACAGTTGAAGTGGTTATGTACTTTGCTATGAATGTGTTAGTTAGTCTATTGTATTAGCGTTCAGCACTAGGGAAGTTGATTTGGACAGACCCTTGACCCCTCGATTTTTGACCAAGGAAGTGAGTCTATCCAACATGTACACTTCAGACACAACGATAAACCACAATGCACCATGATTGTGGCGTCTGCACTTAATTTACCCCACCCTACACAACTCCACTGTATGATATTAGCATTATTTTGACATTTAAACGCATTTAATCCATGTTGTAGGTACTGTAAGCTGACTGTTTATCATTTTCATTTGTGTATTTTTTAATATTTAATATTAGTTTATGTTTATTTTTAACAGGTCAAGCATACATGATACAGGCATATAGAAAAAAACTGGACTTGAACTGGCCATCATAAGAAAGCTTTGCCAACTGCCATGTGGAACGATAAAAGCCTTTCATGAAATCAATCGCTGACTTTCACTGGGAAAGACCCTTCGAGTAGCAGCAGTGTCCTTCAAGGGCAAGAAAATACCATTAGCTCGCTTAATATTCTCTCCTGTGTCTGGGACAGACAGAGGAGGAGCAGATGTTTGCTAACCACTAAACACTCGCGGTCAATTTAACGCATCCAAACACACACTCACGCTTGACTGACTGATCTCCATGCTCTCGTGTTCAGAGACTCACACGAAGTGGGCCTTCTAATCAAACCTGTACCGCATCGAGATGGGCGGCCCTGTTTCATTCTGAGGTTAATGAAACTCAAGCAGGAGAATTGAGATGAGGAAGGTCTATACAGTCTGCAACTCACCCATGACACAACACGTCCGTTGAAACACGGTAGCTTGGCGTTGTCATCAGAAATCTCTTCCTTCACCACCCTGGAGAGACATAATGAAACGACAGGTCTGTTGTAGGGTACACCAGAGAAACAGATGATTAAAACATGATTTTCACTCAAACTATACACGAAAGCAGTTGTCATGGACAACAAATCCTCTTTAATTTCATTCTGCTTAATCAGTTAAAATAATTATATGGTTTTGTTCGAGATCAAATGTAAAACAAAGATACACAAAGAAACTAGACTGAAGAAAATGTGAATGTTCTGCTTCTCAATTGCTATAGTGTTAAAGATGCTTGCTAGATGCTTTTACAATCGGGTTTGGAAAATGATAACATTTTGAACGATAACTTATAAACCTTTAAAGACAGCCCTAATGTAAGCTACAAGGTTAGTAATCGATGGTGTTTTCTTCTGTTGAAGCCGTCAGGCCGCATGATTTTAATTTAATCTTAAAATAATCGTGTTTGACAGCAAAATTCACAGTAAAAAACTACATTACCCATGATGCTGTACATTACACCAAATTGAGAGTAAAAAAAAATCTTCAAAACAGCTCTTTAGCTCCGCCCACTCCCATGAAGCACTGCGAATGATGCAATCGAGTCGATCTCCCTATAGGCTCTCAAAATACTCAAATTTATATATATATATTAAAATATATTGTTTTTATACATTAAAACTTTGTAAATGAGCAGTTTTATATTCCTCCATAGTTTTTAATTTGATTTAGCAATGCTTTTAATTTGGTTTGCAATGCTTCATGGGATTGTAGTTTTTCCCCTCAATAAAACCGTTAAGGTCACAGGCTTGAACCTTTCCCTTTCCCATTTTCAAAAGACTATTTTAAAATCCCTATGAGAAAAAAATGCATGGAAAAATACTTCAGGAACCAGTGCCACTCAAAAAGGGGGCGGGCACTGTTGCACTTTATATTATGGGGCTGTTGAATGCTTGAAACTGATTGGTTGACGAACATTCTAATTATTAGAACATTCTTGTCAGGTTTAAACATTCTAATTATTATTAAATGTAAATGTAGTGTAATGTAACTGCATTAGTCTGCTATCAATGGCTCTAACCTCAGTTACTAGCTCTAAAAAGACGTTTTGGAATTAGCAACAGATTATAGATGCGCAAGAAATTAATCCCACACACAAGTTTTATACGTTTTATGAACAAAAACCTGACAATTGTCTTAAAATACAACATTTGAACAATGTCTTGAGGTGTGGTAACCATAATAAGCAGAATAATTGACTAATTGGCCCGTTGAATTATTGGAAAATCATGCGCATTACCACCTGGGGTGTGCAATATTTATTTTCTAATAATTCAACGACCAGTCGTCAATTATTCCCTACCTATTGTGCTCTGGCTGGTTGCCGAAGCATTCGCTGTTCTGTTGTTATGGCATCGCCAGGTGGTTGCTAAGGTGTTCTCATTGGTTGTTAAAGCAAGCGGTTGCTATAGTGTTCTGGCTGGTTGCTAGAGCATTTACTATTGTTTTCTGGTTCTGGTTGCTAAATGGACGTGACTAGCTCATGTCAAAAGAGGCCATAATAATAGTGAGGGGCTTGACTTGAGCAAACACCCTTAAATAAGTAAAGCAGCTCCATTTTCTAAAAGCCCCCTCACACAAACACGCACACAGGTTAATTTAGTCTCCCATAAAATAAAATTCACGGCATGCACCTCCTAGTCCCTCCCCCTTCCCAGCTGCTCCTTAAAAAGGTGCTGACCCCACTGACTCCTGTCACCATGGAAACCTTTGTCAAAGAGGAAGAGGGTGAAAGACAGCTGGCTAGTAAAGCATGTGAGGTTTGCTGAAACAGACCATGTAATCTATTAATGATAAAAATCAATTGAGTGATCATGATTGCATTCATGTTCTATAAATCAAAGCCAGGCGGCTAGCTTTAATCACACACATGCCAAACACCAAAGCAGTGGTGACAAAACTGAGTCTGTGCTATAGATGCACACAGGACATGCCAAATGCTTTCCTGGTTGGCAAAAAAAAAATACATGTGAGAATGCTTGCCTGACATATTTCATTTGATCTACTCTCAGTGATGCTGATGCATATTGCATGCAAAAAATGGCAGCATTTGAGAACGCTAAGCTTCAATCTGATCTGATTGCTTTACTGCTTCCTCCCCTAGTCTCAGAAGATCAAGCTAAATTCGTATCAAATGAATCCAAACCCGCATTATGAAAACAATCTGATGTTTTATCTTTTTTTACAGGGCTTTATTTGTGTCATACATCATCTCTCTCTCTCTCTCTTTCTCTCTTCCTGCCAGATGAAGCTGATCTAATGAAAGCCTTCAACAGTGACTGTATCTGCTGAATTCTCTCAGGCCCAAGATCTCATTGGGTGCGCCAATATGCTCGTGCTTATGCGTTTGTATCAGATTTTTCTTGTGCAATACAATGCTGGTAGCTTCTGAAAAGCAGCCGATGAGAGGTTCTAGTTGCCTGTGTGTGTTTGCGTGAGAAACAGATTATATCCCACAGGCCTCTCTGGCATTAGGACAATGATTGACAGCTCTCAGTGAATTCCAATCTGAGCACTTTGTTGCTTTTAGTGAGTGGATTTTACATTGTTCCACAGTGCGGACTCTAATCCTACTTGGGCTGTGCAATAAAAACTCAGCAGGGATGGTGACATAAGAGGCTCAGAGAGCAGCTCTCCTCCTCCTTTTCTCATTCTGTTCTTCTTCTCTGCTCTCCTCATTCCTTTAGCAGCATGAGGTCCCATTTCTCCTGAAGCAGTTTCATCTGAAATCCTCAGCTTGGATGAGAACAGAAATACTGCTCAGATATGAGTAATGTTTTCACTTGAATGAATAGTAAAAAGCAAAAATTCTGTCATCAAAAGGCTATGGCAGAAGCAGGGGAGGACGATATGAGCAAAATCATCAATCATAGGATGAGTAAATTTAGACCATGATTATGCTATGTCACGTTTTATGTTTGTTTTCATTCACGTCTGTATTTTAAGGAAGCTTGTTTCCGCCACTGAATTAAAAAAAGAAAAAAATAATTGCGACTTTTTATCTCACAATTGTGAGATATGAATTCAGAATTGCGAGAAATAAAGTCGCAATTGCGTGTTATAAAGTCAGAATTGCATGATAAAAAAGTCAGAATTGCGAGATATAAATTCAGAATTGTGAGATATAAAGTCAGAATTGCGTGATATAAAGTCAGAATTGCGAGATATAAAGTCAGAATTGCGTGATATAAAGTCAGAATTGCGAGATATAAAGTCAGAATTGTGAGATATAAAGTCATTATTGTGAGATATAGTCAGAATTGCGTGATATAAAGTCAGAATTGTGAGATATAAAGTCATTATTGTGAGATATAAAGTCATTATTGCGAGATATAAAGTCAGAATTGTGAGATATAAAGTCATTATTGTGCGATATAAAGTCATTATTGCGAGATATAAAGTCAGAATTGCGAGATATAAAGTCAGAATTGCGAGATATAAAGTCAGAATTGCGTGATATAAAGTCAGAATTGCGAGATATAAAGTCAGAATTGCGAGATATAAAGTCAGAATTGCGAGATATAAAGTCAGAATTGCGAGATATAAAGTCAGAATTGCGTGATATAAAGTCAGAATTGCGTGATATAAAGTCAGAATTGCGAGATATAAAGTCCAGAATTGTGTGATTTAAAGTCAGAATTGCATGATATAAAGTCACAATTACGAGATATAAAGTCACAATTGTGAGATATAAAGTCAGAATTGCAATTCAGAATCTCACAATTCTGACTTTATATCTCGTAATTGTGACTTTATATCTCGTAATTGTGACTTTATATCATGCAATTCTGACTTTAAATCACACAATTCTGGACTTTATATCTCGCAATTCTGACTTTATATCATGCAATTCTGACTTTATATCTCGCAATTTTTACTTTATATCTCGCAATTCTGACTTTATATCACGCAATTCTGACTTTATATCTCGCAATTTTTACTTTATATCTCGCAATTCTGACTTTATATCTCGCAATTTTACTTTATATCTCGCAATTCTGACTTTATATCACGCAATTCTGACTTTATATCTCGCAATTCTGACTTTATATCTCGCAATTTTTACTTTATATCTCGCAATTCTGACTTTATATCACGCAATTCTGACTTTATATCTCGCAATTTTTACTTTATATCTCGCAATTCTGACTTTATATCTCGCAATTTTTACTTTATATCTCGCAATTCTGACTTTATATCTCGCAATTTTTACTTTATATCTCGCAATTCTGACTTTATATCTCGCAATTCTGACTTTATATCTCGCAATTCTGACTTTTTTATAACTTGCAATTCTGACTTTATATCTCACAATTCTGAGAAATAAAGTCAGAATTGCGAGATGTAAACTCGCAATTATGAGAAAAAAAAGTCAGAATTGTGAGATAAAAAGTTGCAATTACCTTTTTCATTTTTCATTCTGTGGCCAACATGACATCATGACTTTTGCGTAAACATACACGCCACTTTCGAGTCAGGTGGCGTGTTATCTCTACGCATTTTGAGCTATTTTGAGTCTACGCCATTAACGTCCGCGTCATTCCACGTGTCTGTACACGCAGTCAAATCTCCAGTCATAAATGCCATTAACCCCAGTGACGGTTAAGTTTAGGGATGGGGTTGAGGTAAGTCATATCTTTTTTTTTTCCTAGGATGGTAAGGGAACAGTCATAAATGCCATTAACCCCAGTGACGGTTAGGTTTAGGGACGGGGTTGAGGTAAGTCATATATTTATATAACGTTAAGTCAACGGCGTTCATAAACACGCTGAAAGGCGATTATGCGTCTTGATAGCACGCCAAAAATGGAAATACGAATTGGCGTGGCATACACACGCTACTTCATGAGATCAGTCTGCTGTGGCGGAAACAAGCTTCCATAGTATTTCTAGTCTTGTGTTTTGCTGTCAGTGTGTTAATTGGTTCTGTAACCTCAGTTTCCCCTGCCTGTTTGTCACTAGAGTTACATATTGATT